CACACATCCACCACCGCCCCCACTCTCAAAACTCCCCCCCCCCCCTACACACACACTCACACACAAACACACTAGCTCACTAGATTTCTTGTCGCTCACTCACTTCATTATTCCGAGCATCTGTTATCGATTATCATAATCGTTTGTTTAATAAACACGGACATTGACGTGTCGTTCTTCGCATGATTTAGTGGAATATGATTATCGATTACTTCATTAATGGGACAGAATGGTCGATTACCACAACTGCGATTCCTGGTTTCCGATTTGGTACCCAGGCAAAAATGTAGAATATTCTGTGCACTCGTTCTTTGAGAGATATTTAAAAAAAAAAAAAAAGGCATCTTGGCATGGGAAGATATCAGTTTATCACGGTCGATGAGGTTATTCGAGTCTTGTTTTGGGTTGTTCTGAGTGCTGAAAGAAAGAATGTGAAAGAAGAAGTTTCAGAAGATAGGTAGAAAGTCTGTGTGCAGACAGGCAAAAACGGATTGGTTCAATGAAATATACGATCCGAGGTGTAAAACGTTTGAGGGGCAGTATACAAATGCTTCCACAGAAGATACATAAATCAGCGGGCCGAAAAACATAGAATCCTCTGTCTGACTTCAGTGAAACCAAGGAAAGCTTTCACCGGGAACGGAAAATATAGCGAGATAGACAAACTATATTTGTAAATTTTGTAGTGATTAGGGATGAACTTCAAAGCAACAAGCAATGGCTATAAGTTTTGGCAGCTGGAGTCAGAGAAACTGTTTAACATAAAAAAGTTAAGCCTTCCAGGGTGAAGCACCATAAAGGAAGAATAAAATGATATGAAAGAGGTAGTAATTGAGGGGGTGGGGGGGGGGGGGGATCTCATGTTATGAGAAAGAGGAAACTGGAACATTTTGTTACCTGTGGAAAAATCTCTTGAAAGATATACAGAGGGAGACAACACGTAAAGATTCTTGACAGCCATTTGTGATGGCATGGAGATGTGTCAACACACGAACTGATACATGCTGCTGAAGATCGCAGAATGTGGAGAGGCATGATCGCCCACGTCAGGCGGCAAGGCACATGAAGATGACATGAGACCGTACTCGTTGTTTTCAAATCCTGGTTCACGCTTTGAATGTCATGGATTCGTTTCACGGCTGCCTGTTCACCGTGCAGTTTTTTATGGAGATTCCATGGGATCCTTAGTGGAGACACAGTTCGTGACTTGTGCGACATTTTCGGCAGATGACTAGCTGTCCTGCGGAGAGAGACCAAGCCATGTATGATAGTCTGGCAGAGAAATCCATTCTCCCGACTTGAACTTTGCTGCCATTGTTCGTGAGTTCGTTTTGTTTCGTTTCACTAGTGCTTGCCCGTTAGTCACAAACTGCCGGAAGTGATTCGCTGTCAATTTCCACATATCTATCGCTCATAACCCGAGAGCGAAACTTTGGGGGAGCTTTAAGTAGACACATAACAAAGAATACTGTATCCAGAAGGACATTTTTTAAATATAATTTCGGAAAATAGTAAAATGCCCGGATGTGTATAGTGCGTGGTGGAGTGTTGATTTGTATCGGTGTCAGAGCATGCTTTGTTTTTAAATCTTAAACAGAGCTCGATGGCCCAGTTGTCAGGCCGTCTACCTAGCGCTCCTGACTATCATGTTTAGTTGTTCTGCTTGTTCTGTTTTCCAGCGGAGACGTCGAAGTGTCATGGCTGGAACACTCCGGCATGGTTTGGCCTCGTGGTATAACCATCTGTAGATCACAGACCTGATCACAGACTGGTGATCATGTGAGATGGCAAATCATGACCGCCCACACTTGCCGGCGTGGAGCTTATTGATGACTGTCTAGCAACGTTCTTCAGCGTGTTGTTCATTGTTCATTTCAAGATCATCTTCATTGCACATCGGGCTTACCCATAAGTACTCAGATCTTCTCCTTAGTATGTTTCTTGTTGTATTTACGCTGACGACTCCTGTGCTCAGATCTTCTCCTTAGTATGTTTCTTGTTGTGTTTATGCTGACTCCTGTACTCAGATCTTCTCCTTAGTATGTTTCTTGGTGTGTTTATTCTGACTCCTGTACTTAGATCTTCTCCTTAGTATGTTTCTTGGTGTGTTTATTCTGACTCCTGTACTTAGATCTTCTCCTTAGTATGTTTCTTGATGTGTTTATGCTGACGACTCCTATGCTCAGATCTTCTCCTTAGTATGTTTCTTGTTGTGTTTATGCTAACTCCTGTGCTCAGATTTTCTCATTAGTATGTTTCTTGTTGTGTTTATGCTGACTCCTGTGCTCAGATTTTCTCCTTAGTATGTTTCTTGTTGTGTTTATGCTGACTCCTATGCTCAGATCTTCTCCTTAGTATGTTTCTTGTTGTGTTTATGCTGACTCCTGTACTCAAATCTTCTCCTAAGGATGTTTCTTGGTGTGTTTATGCTGACTCCTGCGCTCAGATCTTCTCCTAAGTATGTTTCTTAGTGTGTTTATGCTGACTCCTGCGCTCAAATCTTTTCCTAAGGATGTTTCTTGGTGTGTTTACGCTGACTCCTGCGCTCAGATCTTCTCCTAAGTATGTTTCTTGTTGTGTTTATGCTAACTCCTGTGCTCAGATTTTCTCATTAGTATGTTTCTTGTTGTGTTTATGCTGACTCCTGTGCTCAGATTTTCTCCTTAGTATGTTTCTTGTTGTGTTTATGCTGACTCCTATGCTCAGATCTTCTCCTTAGTATGTTTCTTGTTGTGTTTATGCTTACGACTCCTGTACTCAAATCTTCTCCTAAGGATGTTTCTTGGTGTGTTTATGCTGACTCCTGCGCTCAGATCTTCTCCTAAGTATTTTTCTTAGTGTGTTTATGCTGACTCCTGCGCTCAAATCTTCTCCTAAGGATGTTTCTTGGTGTGTTTACGCTGACTCCTGCGCTCAGATCTTCTCCTAAGTATGTTTCTTGGTGTGTTTATGCTGACGACTTCTGTTCTGTGTTGATTGATGTAGCGACTGTGACGTGTTTTACACATGCGGACCGCGAGAAATAAGAGAATACATAACAGTCCGGCTGACGGCTTCATAGAAACAGTAACAGATGTAGAGAGTGTTTCAGGTATTAAATCATCGTTGAGTGGAGCGGATCCGCGGACCGCCAGCAAATATCCTGGCATTCAGTGGTCCGCGGACCATAGGTTGACCAAGATAGACGTAGAATAATCCTATCTGACATGCCGTGGTCGTCTGTTGATGCTAGCCTCTTGTGTGTGTGTGTCTTCTTGGTCAGTGGCCCATGTGTTACACAAGGTAGTTCCTGTGTGGGTTTCGGGGCCCAGTTGTGTGTGTGTGTGTGTGTGTGTGTGTGTAGGGGAGGGGGATAACCAATTGCAAAAAAAAAGGAGGCGGGGGGGGGGGGGGTAACCCACTGCCCCCTAATAAGCATGTCGTTAGGGATGTTTCCATCGAAGTCGGAATGCATATACATGAGAGGCGAGGAACCAACAGTCTGCATACAGATACGCCATATGTGTAGAAGGGATATGCACACATAACTCATAATATGGAACAAGACTAGAAGTAGATACAGCCAGAAATGTCCACTAAAGTTTACAGCAGATAAACGTGAAGAAGAAGAGGAAGAAGAAGAAGAAGAAGAAGAAGAAGAAGAAGAAGAAGACACGACGTAGAAAAGATATCTTCTTGAGTCATACGTGTTGTTCACAAAATGACTGAAACCTCCCAGTAGTGTATCGAAAGCTCTTACAGTCGTCAAAGGTGGGGTCCTGCCTGCCATATATTGTGAGTCCTGCTACGAATAAACGTGTTAATATATACCAGTTCTACAGCAGCAGCATTTATAGTGACCTTCACCTGTCTGTCTATGAACTGTGTCAGTGGTTCTCAATCGATACAACCCTTTGCATTGACCGTGTGCGGTTGCCACTTCAGGAACAGACGTGTTATTACGACATTCTGTCTTGTAACGACGTACTATTGAAATACGTTTATGCGCGCTTGTGTGAATGCAATTGTACAGATTGTAAAGATATTTTAGTAAACGATAAAACTCAGGGTATTGTTGATAGAAGACAGGGTAAGAATCATTGTCTGGGGACAGTGGAGCTGAGTGAAGACATGTTTAGAATCATTTCCTGAAGACAGTGGAGCTGAGTGAAGACAGGTTTAGAATCATTGTCTGGGGACAGTGGAGCTGAGTGAAGACATGTTTAGAATCATTTCCTGATGACAGTGGAGTTGAGTGAAGACAGGTTTAGAATCATTGTCCGGTGACAGTGGAGCTGAGTGAAGACATGTTTAGAATCATTTCCTGAAGACAGTGGAGCTGAGTGAAGACAGGTTTAGAATCATTGTCTGGGGACAGTGGAGCTGAGTGAAGACATGTTTAGAATCATTTCCTGATGACAGTGGAGTTGAGTGAAGACAGGTTTAGAATCATTGTCCGGTGACAGTGGAGCTGAGTGAAGACATGTTTAGAATCATTGTCTGGTGACAGTGGAGCTGAGTGAAGACATGTTTAGAATCATTGTCTGGTGACAGTGGAGCTGAGTGTGATCTGTGCGTGCCGCAGCAGATCATCTTTGTTGTATGGAGAATTGTCGGATCCGTCAACTATGGACGGCGGCGGGAACGCCTCGGAGACACAACAGTCAGTTTTGTATATAGCGTGTTCTTGTAGCACAAGCCGCTGCACATCAAAATCACTCATAGCCATTTGTCTTCCTGGACTAACATTGAGGGGGACCAGTTTTGTGTAACTCGTTGAAGTGCTAGTCATGTGTTCAGCTCACTAGGACTGGCCCAGGCACCGTGGTGGTCTCTACCAGAGTTGTACCCCATGTAAGTATCGGGTAGATTGGCAGGATGCCAGCATGGACAAACTAGCCATGGCAATCCACACAGTCCTGAAGGCATTCGGTGCCATCCTACACATGGAGGATACATCCCTCTACCTTCTTGTCACATCCACATCCATCATCTTCAGTTGTATTCTTATCTTTCGGAAGCGGCGGGACCATGCTCGAGGAGGTTCTGTGCGAGGCACGGCATCCACAGCCGCGCAACCACCGGCCTCAGCAGTCTCCTCGACAGTGTTGGAACCAGCTGGTGGAGCTTCTAGGTCGGCATCCTCCCAGACCACACAGACGGCCCAGACCAGCCCCAAGATGTCCAGGAAGGTGAGAGTTGCCGTCATTGATGTCAGCTGTCAGTGATGTCAACTGTTGTTAATGTCAACTGTCATTATGTCAACTGTTGTTAATGTCAACTGACATTGTGTCAACTGTTGTTAATGTCAACTGTCATTGTGTCAACTGTTATTGTGTCAACTGTCATTGTGCAACTGTCATTGTGTAACTGTCATTGTGTAACTGTAATTGATGTCATCTGTCAGTGATGTCAACTGTTGTTAATGTCAACTGTCATTGTGTCAACTGTCAGTGATGTCATCTGTCATTGTATCAGCTGTCATGCAACATACCTGTCAGTTTAAGGCCAGCAGTGTGACAGCTGCTTGTTCCTATGGGTCGCTGAGTGAATTACAAAAGACAGTGGAGTTCATACAAGAGACAACATTACAGGTATACATAAATAATCTATTTTGTATTACGAAAGAAGAACAAGAAAAACTTTCTTTTTGGAAAGTAGCTTCAGCTTGTTCTGCCAATGATCCAACATCCTTTTCTCTTAGTCTTCAGGGTTCCCTGGTGGAAAGTTCTGGTTATACATTTCTCTTAGTCTTAAGGGCTCTTTGGTTTAAAGTTCTGGTTATACATTTCTCTTAGTCTTCAGGGTTCCCTGGTGGAAAGTTCTGGTTATACATTTCTCTTAGTCTTCAGGGTTCCCTGGTGGAAAGTTCTGGTTATACATTTCTCTTAGTCTTCAAGGTTCCCTGGTGGAAAGTTCTGGTTATACATTTCTCTTAGTCTTCAAGGTTCCCTGGTGGAAAGTTCTGGTTATACATTTCTCTTAGTCTTAAGGGCTCTTTGGTTTAAAGTTCTGGTTATACATTTCTCTTAGTCTTAAGGGCTCTTTGGTTTAAAGTTCTGGTTATACATTTCTCTTAGTCTTCAGGGTTCCCTGGTTTAAAGTTCTGGTTATACATTTCTCTTAGTCTTCAGGGTTCCCTGGTGGAAAGTTCTGGTTATACATTTCTCTTAGTCTTCAGGGCTCCCTGGTTTAAAGTTCTGGTTATACATTTCTCTTAGTCTTCAGGGTTCCCTGGTGGAAAGTTCTGGTTATACATTTCTCTTAGTCTTCAGGGTTCCCTGGTGGAAAGTTCTGGTTATACATTTCTCTTAGTCTTCAGGGTTCCCTGGTGGAAAGTTCTGGTTATACATTTCTCTTAGTCTTCAAGGTTCCCTGGTGGAAAGTTCTGGTTATACATTTCTCTTAGTCTTAAGGGCTCTTTGGTTTAAAGTTCTGGTTATACATTTCTCTTAGTCTTAAGGGTTCCCTGGTGGAAAGTTCTGGTTATACATTTCTCTTAGTCTTCAGGGTTCCCTGGTGGAAAGTTCTGGTTATACATTTCTCTTAGTCTTCAAGGTTCCCTGGTGGAAAGTTCTGGTTATACATTTCTCTTAGTCTTAAGGGCTCTTTGGTTTAAAGTTCTGGTTATACATTTCTCTTAGTCTTAAGGGCTCTTTGGTTTAAAGTTCTGGTTATACATTTCTCTTAGTCTTCAGGGTTCCCTGGTTTAAAGTTCTGGTTATACATTTCTCTTAGTCTTCAGGGTTCCCTGGTGGAAAGTTCTGGTTATACATTTCTCTTAGTCTTCAGGGCTCCCTGGTTTAAAGTTCTGGTTATACATTTCTCTTAGTCTTCAGGGTTCCCTGGTGGAAAGTTCTGGTTATACATTTCTCTTAGTCTTCAGGACTCTCTGGTGGAAAGTTCTGGTTATACATTTCTCTTAGTCTTCAGGGTTCCCTGGTGGAAAGTTCTGGTTATACATTTCTCTTAGTCTTCAGGGCTCCCTGGTTTAAAGTTCTGGTTATACATTTCTCTTAGTCTTCAGGGTTCCCTGGTTTAAAGTTCTGGTTATACATTTATCTTAGTCTTCAGGACTCTCTGGTGGAAAGTTCTGGTTATACATTTCTCTTAGTCTTCAGGGTTCCCTGGAGTGTACTGTTGCTAGCACTAGGGAGGGGAGTGTACTGTTGCTAGCACTAGGGAGGGGAGTGTACTGTTGCTAGCACTAGGGAGGGGAGTGTACTGTTGCTAGCACTAGGGAGGGGAGTGTACTGTTGCTAGCACTAGGGAGGGGAGTGTTCTGATGCTAGCACTAGGGAGGGGAGTGTACTGATGCTGCTAGAACTAGGGAGGGGAATGTACTGATGCTAGCACTAGGGAGGGGAGTTTACTGATGCTAGCACTAAGGAGGGGAATTTACTGATGCTAGCACTAGGGAGGGGGTGTACTGATGCTAGCACTAGGGAGGGGAGTGTACTGATGCTGCTAGCACTATGGAGGGGAGTGTACTGATGCTGCTAGCACTAGGGAGGGGGTGTACTGATGCTGCTAGCACTAGGGAGGGGAGTGTACTGATGCTGCTAGCACTAGGGAGGGAAGTATACTGATGCTGCTAGCACTAGGGAGGGGAGTATACTGATGATGTTAGCACTAGGGAGGGGGGTATACTGATGCTGCTAGCACTAGGGAGGGGGGTGTACTGATGCTGCTAGCACTAGGGAGGGAAGTATACTGATGCAAGCACTAGGGAGGGAAATGTACTGATGCTAGCACTAAGGAGGGGAGTGTACTGATGCTGCTAGCACTAGGGAGGGGAGTGTACTGATGCTAGCACCAGGAAGGGGAGTGTACTGATGCTAGCACTATGGAGGGAAATGTACTGATGCTAGCACTAGGGAGGGGGTGTACTGATGCTAGCACTAGGGAGGGGAATGTACTGATGCTGCTAGCACTAGGGAGGGGAGTGTACTGATGCTGCTAGCACTAGGGAGGGGGGTATACTGATGCTAGCACTAGGGAGGGGAGTATACTGATGCTAGCACTAGGGAGGGGGGTATACTGATGCTAGCACTAGGGAGGGGAGTATACTGATGCTGCTAGCACTAGGGAGGGAGGGGGTGTACTGATGCTGCTAGCACTAGGGAGGGGAGTGTACTGATGCTGCTAGCACTAGGGAGGGGAGTGTACTGATGCTGCTAGCACTAGGGAGGGGGGTGTACTGATGCTGCTAGCACTAGGGAGGGAGGGAGTGTACTGATGCTGCTAGCACTAGGGAGGGGAGTGTACTGATGCTGCTAGCACTAGGGAGGGGGGTGTACTGATGCTGCTAGCACTAGGGAAGGTAGTGTACTGATGCTGCTAGCACTAGGGATGGGGGTGTACTGATGCTGCTAGCACTAGGGAGGGGGGTGTACTGATGCTGCTAGCACTAGGGAGGGAGGGGAGTGTACTGATGCTGCTAGCACTAGGGAGGGGAGTGTACTGATGCTGCTATCACTAGGGAGGGGGGTGTACTGATGCTGCTATCACTAGGGAGGGGAGTGTACTGATGATGCTAGCACTAGGGAGGGTAGTGTACTGATGATGCTATCACTAGGGAGGGTAGTGTACTGATGATGCTATCACTAGGGAGGGGAGTATACTGATGCTGCTAGCACTAGGGAGGGTAGTGTACTGATGATGCTATCACTAGGGAGGGGAGTGTACTGATGATGCTAGCACTAGGGAGGGTAGTGTACTGATGATGCTATCACTAGGGAGGGTAGTGTACTGATGATGCTATCACTAGGGAGGGGAGTATACTGATGATGCTATCACTAGGGAGGGTAGTGTACTGATGATGCTATCACTAGGGAGGGGAGTATACTGATGATGCTATCACTAGGGAGGGTAGTGTACTGATGATGCTATCACTAGGGAGGGTAGTGTACTGATGATGCTATCACTAGGGAGGGTAGTGTACTGATGATGCTATCACTAGGGAGGGGAGTATACTGATGCTGCTAGCACTAGGGAGGGGAGTGTACTGATGCTGCTAGCACTAGGGAGGGGAGTATACTGATGCTGCTAGCACTAGGGAGGGGAGTGTACACAAGAAATAACCTAACAAAACCATCAAAATAAGATTAATATTTACAAGTTATCAGTTGGCAAAAAATAGAAAGACAAGGAAGAAGAAAAAGGGAGATTAAGAAGAAGAAGGGGAAGGAGCAGGAGACAGTGAAAGAAGAAGAAGCCTTTTATTAGGTTGCAGGGAGAAATCTGGCTGCCTTCTTTCTAGTGACACTAAGTAGATCAGACATGTTAGGGACATTAAACCAATGCAGTTCTTAGAAAACATTGACAGTGTGCTGACCATTGGATCCAATCCAAAGTCAGTTGTGTGGGTTCAAAGGTTATTGGTTAATGCCATGAGCTCAGCTAGGAGATGTCTCCTTGCATGGACTTGAGACCCTTCTGAGTTGCTTGGGTGAGGTAGTGAAACTCCTACCCTCTCCTGTAGTCTGATAACCTAATAGGATACCTCTGGTTGTGTAATTCTTTCTGTCTGACAGTCTTTGACTGGCTGCTGAGAATCATTGAGGAGCTTCATCATTTCTTCTGTATGATAAACATTTATGTGGTTTTATTGAAGAGATTTGTTCTTTTTGTTTACACGTAGAACAACTATCGTCAGCATCTCCAAATACTCGGTCATTCTATGATGATGATTTATTGTTTGGTATCCAAGCAGTTTCTTTCTTTGGGGCAGGGTTTTTCAGCCAAGTTGACTCAGGGACCAAAATGTTGAACATGGGGGATCATCGGAAGCGACAGGCCTGAACCCCTGCATAGAAAGATTGTTAATTCGGTACAAATGGCAATGATTCGTGGGCCACTTGCTAGATCTCCATGGACCACATTTGACCTGCAGACTGCCAGTGAATATCCCAGCTTTAGGGTCTCAAAGTAATCTAGACAGGTCACAAGGTGGACACCTGACCAACAGAGAAACTAAGCTGTTGTTTTGCAGCAGGGCTGACTGGCTTCAGCAGAACTAGGGAAGGCATCCCTGACACAGAAAATATATGCACATTATACACATCCCATCACCCGAAATGTTTTCTTTTTTAAAGTGTGATGCAGTTTACGAAGATGCCAGATTAGCCTTTGATGGGTATAGATGGCGGCAGAAATCGTAAGTTCAGAAGTATTTAGAGTTGGGGGACTTTGATGTGCCTTGCCACGGAGCTGCTCTAAAGCTGCACATGTTTTCTGAGTGAGGATGCTATTAAAGAATGTCAAAATCCAGCACAGATAAGAAGTTTTTAGCATAGATTTCTGTTTCTTGAATGACATGTTGCTGTGTCTGTCCCCAGCATCGCTACCAGCGTCAGGACTCCACATCCTCTCACAGCAGTGTCAGCCATCATGACACAGGAACTAGTGCTGTCGTTAATGGGGACACCAGACACAGGGGCCACCAGACCCCAGTGCAGGCTGAGCAACTTCCTTTTGCAGTTATCAATCGGAATGTTATGAGGCGGGATTCATTTGAGATGCCTCAGAGAACCATAATTGACTCTCCTAGGCCTTCACGTTCAAGGTCTCTGCACAAAACCACCAGTGATAGTAATGTCCCTGGGCGACAGGCCGCAGTTTCTGGCGGAGGAAGTGCACGCTGGCACCACAGTCCATTACAGCAGCATGAACCTGACCAGGATCCTTACAGCTTTCACCGACAGGCCAGCTTTGACACCGGGCGGGTCAGGCAGATTGTACATGTTCCGTCAGAGCCTCTCTTCCCGCAGGCGCATCCACACCACCACCACCACCCTCCCCACCACCATCACCACCGTCAGGCCAGTTTGAATGAGAGCATGGTGCCTCGACCAGGACAGGGTATGTCCGAGTCCCAGCACAGTGCATTCTCTAGTGATCTCGGCTACGACCACCGGGTGCACTACCAACCTCACCCACAGCAAGCGTTCCCAGACTCCCGCCAGCCAGCAAGCTTTCCTGACATGAGAGGCCCTTCCTCCGCAACTGTGACACCTGACCCTTCTACTGGTCATGCTTTCCACAAATATGCAGAACTAAGAAAAGGAAGTCTCACTGATTTCCGGCACGGAGCTGCTCCAGTTTACGCAGAAAACCCTTACAGAAAGGGATCATTATCAGATGATAACAACAGTCAGTATTCTGCAGACAGTGGACCCATTTCGATGATGTACATAAGAACAGACAGTACTGGTTCAGATGCGGTTTCTGGCCAGGAACGGATGTATAGTCCTGACTTGCAGGGTAGAGAGGAGTGCATTCCTTTCAGCCAAGACATTGCCGGCCAACAGGGCAAGGTGAGTCCTGTGCTGCAGTCCGCTGCAGCCGTACCTGGAAAATCAAAACGGTCATTTCCAAGAACAAACCCTAATTATACAGGACTGTCTCGGCGCAGTGAAGGTCACTCCCCTGGGAGTTCTGGGATTTACAAGAAGATCAGTAGTGTGGACAGTCATCTCTCTGGAGGCAGCAGCTCAGGGGGCTACGACACTGCAGGCTATATCATGGTAGGAAACGGATGCAGTGCTGCTCCGGCAAGTGTCCACACCTCTCAGTCACTCTCTGATACCTATTCAGACCCTCAGAGCCCCCAGATCTCCCACAGCAGTAGCGGCAACATCCACCACCAAACTCCACCGTACCACAGCAGAAGTGATAGTGACGCATCACAGTCTAGTGCATCTAGGGCCCAGTTCCGTGACCAGCAACATCTGCACATCCAGCAACAACAACAACAACAACAGAGATCAGAGTGTGCTCAGACCAAGGGACTCACAGACAGTCAGTCTTCCCATGGTTCAGTGAGAAACATGTCCGACATACATTCCTCCCAAGGGTCTCTGAGGAATCTTCCAGAAAGTGGCAGGTCTGAAGGTCAAGGCAAAAGTAAGTAGTCAGTTACCACTTCTGATCAAATGTACCATCATAAAACTGGTTTCTCTTGTGAAGTAAAAAAAAAACGATTGTACATAAAATCGATCCTAGTCCAGGAATATGGGTTCTGGAGGATCATAGCTTTCAGTGTTTGCTGCCCATAAGTATGGCATTCAGCAACATTGTTTGCCTGCCCATACATATGGTATACAGCAGCAACAGTGTTTGCCTGCCCATACGTTTGGCATTCAGCAGCAACATTGTTTGCCTGCCCATACGTATGGCATTCAGCAGCAACAGTGTTTGCCTGCCCATACGTATGGCATGCAGCAGCAACATTGTTTGCCTGCCCATACGTATGGCATTCAGCAGCAACATTGTTTGCCTGCCCATACGTATGGCATTCAGCAGCAACATTGTTTGCCTGCCCATACGTATGGCATGCAGCAGCAACATTGTTTGCCTGCCCATACGTATGGCATTCAGCAGCAACAGTGTTTGCCTGCCCATACGTATGGCATGCAGCAGCAACATTGTTTGCCTGCCCATACGTATGGCATTCAGCAGCAACATTGTTTGCCTGCCCATACGTATGGCATTCAGCAGCAACAGTGTTTGCCTGCCCATACATATGGCATACAGCAGCAGTGTTTGCCTGCCCATACATATGGCATTCAGCAGCAGCAGTTATCATGCTAATATATTTTATAACCTTTGCTCATGTGATTTACATTGTGTCATTTTCTTAACGTGTTTTATGTTCAATCCTGCTCATGTGATTTACATTCTGTCACCTTCTTGTCTGTATTACCTTCAGTCCTGCTCATGTGATTTACATTCTGTCACCTTCTTGTCTGTATTACCTTCAGTCCTGCTCATATGATTAACATTCTGCCGCCTTCTTGTCTGTATTACCTTCAGTCCTGCTCATATGATTAACATTCTGTCGCCTTCTTGTCTGTATTACCTTAAGTCCTGCTCATATGATTAACATTCTGTCACCTTCTTGTCTGTATTACCTTCAGTCCTGCTCATATGATTAACATTCTGTCGCCTTCTTGTCTGTATTACCTTCAGTCCTGCTCATATGATTAACATTCTGTCGCCTTCTTGTCTGTATTACCTTCAGTCCTGCTCATATGATTAACATTCTGTCCCCTTGTTGTCTGTATTACCTTCAGTCCTGCTCATATGATTAACATTCTAGCACCTTGTTGTCTGTATTACCTTCAGTCCTGCTCATATGATTAACATTCTAGCACCTTGTTGTCTGTATTACCTTCAGTCCTGCTCATATGATTAACATTCTGTCGCCTTCTTGTCTGTATTACCTTCAGTCCTGCTCATATGATTAACATTCTAGCACCAGAGGTAGTTAACGAGGATTGCTTTGATACTAGCTAACCATATTCCATAGAAAACTTTAGCAGCAGAATGCAGTCAATTGTGGACTTGCAGTAAAGCACAGATAATCAGCCAGAATGCAAAAAGGCTGTTCTCCTGGTGTAATACAAGCTGTGAGGAAATTCTCCCCAGTTGAATGTTAGACTGTTTGTCCCTCGCTTTGAATTTTGGAGCTCATTTCATAGACTGTTTTATTCTGTTCACGAGTGCACTTTTTACAGGGGTAGTCACTGGGATCCTTGCTGGGACTATGAAGTGTGTGCTCATGTGATCTGCTCTGGACAGGTGGATGGCCATTCCTTGAAGTGAGACTGAGCCATGTGGAGCCAAACTAATACAATGGTGTCAGTCCTGTTGAGTTCACACCTTCTAACTCTTGCAGTCGCAAACAAGACATGATATGTTACTGACTATTCCCCATATGTCTCCAACATTGCATCAAGTGTCTTCTTATGTTTTAGTTTTGGTCTCTGTATACTAAATAAATCTGTCAAACATGTATTAATTTTTCACTCCTGCAACACCAGATGGGGTTAGACTTTTTGTGGTTGTATTTAGCAAACTCTTATGAAATGTTTGTTAGGGAGTTAGTGGGAAACGAATTATTCCTAAATGTGTAATAAAAGTCGATGGTGTTATTTTAGGACAAATGCAGAAATATAAGTATCTGGGCACATGGATAACATCAGATGGAAGATGCATAACTGAGATAAGAAACAGAATAGGGCAGGCAACAACTGCATTTCATAAAATAAAGAATATCTTGTGCAATGTATCCTTGTCATTGAGAGTTAGAAAAAGAATTCTTGCTTGCTTCATACATCCAGTTTTAACATATGGCTGTGAATCCTGGACAATCGGTAGGCAGGCCAAACAATTTCTTGAGGCCTCAGAGATGTGGTTTTACAGAAGAATGCTTAGAATACCTTGGACATCCAAAAACAGCAACCAAGAGGTTTTGAAAGAGGCGGGAGCCCAAAGACAACTTATCACAGACATCAGAAGGAGACAGTCATCATTTCTGGCCATGTTATGAAAAGAGGGAAAATCGAACATGTTGTGACCACTGGAAAGATCTGTGGAAGGAGGGATAGAGGAAGACAACGAGAAAAGATTATTGACAGTCTTGTTGCATGGCATGGAGGTGTGTCGACACATGAACTAATACAGGCTGCAGGAGTTTGTGGATTATGGAGAGGCATGATTGCCCACGCCAGTCGGCAAGGCACCTGATGATGATGATTTAATGGAAAGAATAATGATGTTTCTATAAAACCTTATGGGACTAGAAGAGTGAAAACTTGAAGCTGTGAGCAGCTGATCACCAGCAGACACTGTATCTTGTAGAGTCCCATAGATTCTGTCAAAGTCAGCATAAATGTGTCAGCTTCATCACAGCACAGATGATTCAGTCTGCTGGCCTTGTGGGTTCTGAGCCCCATAGTGCCGGGGGGGGGGGGGGGCACTAACTCCCTAACAAACATGTCATAAGAGTTTGCTAATTAGGGTTTCTTTGGAAGTCATGCATTGGCCTGAAAGTCAAGGAACCAACAGTCTGCATAATAAGTTAAATCAATCAAACTAATGTGCATGCAAAACTGAAATTCTTTTAGTCCAGAAGTATACAAACAGTCAGAACTGTATGCAGGAGTTTGCAGCCGGTGAGCATGAAGAAGAAAGATTCAGTCCACTCTGGAAACCAGAAAGACAGGAGAGAAGATGATGATGTACAGAGTTAAACAGATGAGAAAGACATGACCTGAGATGCATAAGATGACAAAGAAATGGAAGGCTTGATGTAAGTTGGTTGGGGGCCGTGTTTCCAGTGGGTGATAAAGGCCAGAAAAAGAAGAACGTTCACATATTTCAAATCTGATGAGATCCCACAGTTTAAAAACATGCCTGCTCTGGTCTGTATGTTCCTAGAGATGAAGCTACTCATCAATCAGCAAATCCTTTACAGAACGTCACTCTCTTCACGGCACACCTGAAAGTATCCCTTTCCCTAGCCAGCTCTCTGGCCCCATGTGCTTTCAGTGCTATTGCATCTTCCATGTCTTGTATCCATCTACGTGGTGGTCGACCCCTGCTTCACCTGCCACAAACTGCACCTTCCTTCACCGTCTTTTCCAAGCCACCATGACGCTTGATGTGGCCAAAATACTTCAACTTTTGGGGCAAGATGATGTTTATGAGCCAGTTTTCCTTGATGTTCAACTATAGAGTTGATTTTTCTGTTGCATTTTTAATTGAGAATCTCTTTCACCAGAGGAAACATTGACTCTGACCTAATTTCTCTATACTAGATGTGTACCACCACGAGAGGTCATCAAGTCAGCTGTCCCAGCATTCTGGCAGGTTGACAGGCGACACTGACGAGCCAGACTATGTGAACCTACCACCCAGCAACGGCCACACCAACACCAGTTCCAGCACCACTAGCACCAACAGCTACGGCAACAGCAACAACAACAACAACAACAATGCTGGTAGTGTGCCTATAACTGTGGAAGAGTCACAACATTTTGTCTCCTCATACGGGCAGGACTATGAGGATGATGATGATGATGACGATGATGATGATGAAGACTTTAATAAGGAGAATGTTCATATGAGGAAAAACAGTTATCCTGACTATGATAGTGAGTAGTCATGTTTGTGATACCCCTGTTATTACCAGATGCTCCTTGATACTATCAAATGTCTCATGATATTACCAGGTGTCCCTGATATTATCAGATGTCTCATAATATTGCCAGGTGTCCCTGATATTATCAGATGTCTCATGATATTACCAGATGTCCCTGATATTACTAGGTTTCCATGATATTACCAGGTGTCCCTGATATTATCAGATGTCTCACGATATTGCCAGGTGTCCCTGATATTACCAGGTGCCCCTGATATTACCAGATGTCTCACGATATTACCAGGTGTCCCTGATATTACCAGGTGTCCCTAATATTATCAGATGTCTCATGATATTACCAAGTGTCTCTGCTATTCCCAAATACCCTTGCTGTTACTAATCTGTGACCGTAATCACACTAAGCACTGGCCGTAATCACACTAATTACTGACAGTAATCACACTAATTACTGACAGTAATCACACTAATCACTGACCCTGAACACACTAATTACTGAAAGTAATCACACTTACTACTGACAGTAATCACACTAATTACTGACAGTAATCACACTAATTACTGACAGTAATCACACAAATTACTGACAGTAATCACACTAATTATTGACAGTGATCACACTAATTACTGGCCGTAATCACACTAATAACTGGCCGTAATCACACTAATTACTGGCCGTAATCACACTAATAACTGGCCGTAATCACACTAACTACTGACAGTAATCACACTAATTACTGACAGTAATCACACTAATTACTGACAGTAATCACACTAAATACTGACAGTAATCACACTAATTTCTGACAGTAATCACACTAATTACTGACAGTAATCACACTAATTACTGACAGTAATCACACTAATTACTGACAGTAATCACACTAATTACTGACAGTAATCACACTAATTACTGACAGTAATCACACTAATTACTGACAGTAATCACACTAATTACTGACAGTAATCACACTAATTACTGACAGTACTAGATGTAATGATAGATTACGTCATTCTCATCACCAGAGATATCTTTTCACATTGGTGGTACTTATAATGTGAAATAGTAATTGTCATCGTTGGTAGTACCTGACATTGTTGTTGGCAGCTGACGTCATTGGTAGTACCTGACATTGTTGTTGGCAGCTGACGTCATTGGTAGCACCTGACATTGTTTTTAGCAGCTGATGTCACTGGTAGTACCTGACATTGTTGTTGGCAGCTGACATCATTGGTGATAACTGACTTTATTGTTGGCAGCTGACATCATTGGTGATAACTGACATTATTGTTGGCAGCTGACGTCATTGGTGAAAACTGATGTTATTGTTGGCAGCTGACATCATTGGTAGTACCTGGCATTGTTTTTGGCAGCTGACGTCACTGGTGATAACTGACGTTATTGTTGGCAGCTGACATCATTGATGATAACTGACATTATTGTTGGCAGCTGACATCATTGGTGATAACTGACATTATTGTTGGCAGCTGACGTCATTGGTGAAAACTGACGTTATTGTTGGCAGCTGACATCATTGGTAGTACCTGGCATTGTTGTTGGCAGCTGACGTCACTGGTGATAACTGACGTTATTGTTGGCAGCTGACGTCATTGTTGGTTAGTGACATTATTGATACTTGCAACACTGGTGGTAACTCAACATTATATCAACTTTCAAACACTGAAACCTAAAACAAATTGATGATTAAAAGAACATGAAAAGGTTGAGATCTACGCTAGAGCTATTTAGTTTGTGGCCCACAGGCTAAAACAAAAGAACCAAAAACCCCAGATCATTTCAAGTTTTTTGTGGGCTTTAATAATGATCTTTCTATCTGGGAGCTCAAGCTTCTGGCCCACGATGATCTCCCCTTTGAAAATGTAGTCCCTTGAGTAAACTTAATTGAATAGCCATGCTGTACCGTATGCAGGTAACTGCCAGCTGCTGTGATCATGAACGGCTGTTTTGTTTCCCGTTTCAGGTGTTCCAGATCAAGAGTCTGACTCCTCAGGTATTTTCCCAGCCACACCTAGAGGACAGGTGCAGTCCCAGTCGATGAACACAGGTGTCAATACAGGGACCCAGCATGCCTCCCTGCGAAGGAAAAAGGGGGACAGGCCAGACGCCAGTCCTGTGGAACGCAGCCAGAGTTTGCAGGCAGACGTCACGGTGACATCACGACCATTGAGCCTGGTGGTGCCCTCACAGACCGATTCCAATATGGCCATCAGTCCTTCCACAACTTCACTGAGCAGAGGGGTGAGTCCACTTGGTCATGGGGAACATGGTAGTCCTGATCCTCCATAAGCTAACCTTCTTTTTCTTGTTTTCTTCTTTGTTGAGCCTTTTATTGTAGCTTCAGAGAGAACTTTATGTACGGACATTCAACAAAATTTGTTGCATATCTGCTTCAGTTGCAAACCAGCCTCCAGTACTTAATGGTTGTTTAGTGTTTTACTTGGCATTATATTTTTCAATAGTTTGCCATTGCTTTCTTAATGAAAAGCTGCTCATTCCCTTGTCAGAGCCAACACACAACAGTCTGTTACCAGATCACCTGTAGCTTCTTTTTCTTTGTGTTTACCAGCTGTAAGCTCCAGTGGAAAGTTCTAGTTGTTCATGCACCTCTGGTGTTGATCCAGAACCCCAGTGGTTTGTGTAGATCCGTTTTACAGATCTGAATTATCTGTATGCAGACTGTTGCTTCTTTGCCTCCCAGGCAGATGCAATCCAACTCCAAAGAAAGCTCCCAGTTAGTTGACTCTTACAACATGCTTGTTTGCGAGGTAGTGGATCTGTTTTTGTTTTCCCCAAAAAGGGACCCCAGAACCCACACAGCGAGGTAATGGTTCTATTCTTGTTTTCCCCATAAAGGGACCCCAGAACCCACACAGCGAGGTAATGGTTCTATTCTTGTTTTCCCCATAAAGGGACCCTAGAACCCACACAGCGAGGTAATGGTTCTATTCTTGTTTTCCCCATAAAGGGACCCCAGAACCCACATGAAGAAACTTATAGCTGACCTCAAACCCTGATATGACAGGATTGTGAAACCGTTCATAACCTTGACACTACAGACACCAAGTCTACTACAGAGCCTGTATGTGTGGATTGTATGAATTATGTTGATTACTTCTACTGGTCCACTCGTACAACACTTGCAGCATTATGTTGATTACTTCTACTGGTCCACTCATACAACACTTGCAGCATTATGTTGATTACTTCTACTGGTCCACTCATACAACACTTGCAGCATTATGTTGATTACTTCTACTGGTTCACTCATACAACACTTGCAGCATTATGTTGATTACTTCTACTGGTCCACTCATACAACACTTGCAGCATTATGTTGATTACTTCTACTGGTCCACTCATACAACACTTGCAGCATTATGTTGATTACTTCTACTGGTTCACTCATACAACACTTGCAGCATTATGTTGATTACTTCTACTGGTCCACTCATACAACACTTGCAGCATTATGTTGATTACTTCTACTGGTCCACTCATACAACACTTGCAGCATTATGTTGATTACTTCTACTGGTCCACTCATACAACACTTGCAGCATTATGTTGATTACTTCTACTGGTCCACTCATACAACACTTGCAACATTATGTTGATTACTTCTACTGGTCCACTCATACAACACTTGCAACATCCATAACTGCATCTCCTTGTCATTGTTTGTGGAGCATCTTATCATTTCAGAATGCAATGATCATACTTTTTAGAATCATTGCAGATTGTTTTGAGAGTGTAAAAGAAATTCTGAGTTGGCAGTAGAAAATAAATTATGAATTGGCAGAATAAAAAAAAAATTCTGAAATTTGATATTTCTGTGTATGCTTCCTGTTGCTATTGACACATAAGGCATTCACATACGATCTCTGTTGCTACAGTTTCTGTCTTTTCTCCCCCAATGAAGCATAGGCCCTCAACCAGCTCATGCAAAGTCATTGTATCCTTTGCTGTTGGATGCAGCTCAGCCTATGTCCTTCTCATCTTTTCATCATCACTATCTAGCTCCCTTCTCCATATGTTATTGGTCTGCCTTTGTTTCTATGCCTTTTGTATTTTAATATCTCTATAAGTTCGCTCATCTTTGTCCACATTACCGCCCACATCAATGTATGGCTACATCTACATTACTGCCTACATCAGTGTATGACTACATCTACATTACCGCCTACATCAGTGTATGACTACATCTACATTACCACCCACATCAGTGTATGGCTACATCTACATTACCGCCTTTCATCAGTGTATGACTACATCTACATTACCACCCACATCAATGTATGACTACATCTACATTACCGCCTTTCATCAGTGTATGACTACATCTACATTACCACCTTTCATCAGTGTATGATTACATCTACATTACTGCCCACATTAGTGTATGACTACATCTACATTACCACCCACATCAGTGTATGACTACATCTACATTACCACCCACATCAGTGTATGACTACATCTACATTACCACCCACATCAGTGTATGACTACATCTACATTACCATCCACATCAGTGTATGACTACATCTACATTACCACCCACATCAGTGTATGACTACATCTACATTACCACCCACATCATTGTATGACTACATCTACATTACCGCCTACATCAATGTATGACTACATCTACATTACCGCCTACATCAATGTATGACTACATCTACATTACCGCCTACATCAGTGTATGACTACATCTACATTACCGCCTACATCAGTGTATGACTACATCTACATTACCGCCTTTCATCAGTGTATGACTACATCTACATTACCGCCTACATCAATGTGTGACTACATCTACATTACCGCCTTTCATCAGTGTATGACTACATCTACATTACCGCCTTTCATCAGTGTATGACTACATCTACATTACCACCTACATCAGTGTATGACTACATCTACATTACCACCCACATCAGTGTATGACTACATCTACATTACCGCCTTTCATCAGTGTATGACTACATCTACATTACCACCTACATCAGTGTATGACTACATCTACATTACCACCCACATCAGTGTATGACTACATCTACATTACCACCCACATCAGTGTATGACTACATCTAATTACCACCCACATCAGTGTATGACTACATATACATTACCGCCCACATCAGTGTATGACTACATCTACATTACCGCCCACATCAGTGTATGACTACATCTACATTACCGCCCACATCAGTGTATGACTACATCTACGTTACCGCCTTTCATCAGTGTATGAATACATCTACATTACCGCCTACATCAATGTATGACTACATCTACATTACCGCCTTTCATCAGTGTATGACTACATCTACATTACCGCCTACATCAGTGTATGACTACATCTACATTACCGCCTACATCAGTGAATGACTACATCTACATTACCGCCCACATCAGTGTATGACTACATCTACATTACCGCCTACATCAGTGTATGACTACATCTACATTACCGCCCACATCAGTGTATGACTACATCTACATTATCGCCTACATCAGTGTATGACTACATCTACATTACCACCCACATCAGTGTATGACTACATCTACATTACCACCCACATCAGTGTATGACTACATCTACATTACCGCCTTTCATCAGTGTATGACTACATCTACATTACCGCCTACATCAATGTATGACTACATCTACATTACCGCCTTTCATCAGTGTATGACTACATCTACATTACCACCTACATCAGTGTATGACTACATCTACATTACCGCCCACATCAGTGTATGACTACATCTACATTACCACCCACATCAGTGTATGACTACATCTACATTACCGCCTTTCATCAGTGTTTGACTACATCTACATTACCACCCACATCAGTGTATGACTACATCTACATTACCACCCACATCAGTGTATGACTACATCTACATTACCGCCTACATCAATGTATGACTATATCTACATTACCACCCACATCAGTGTATGACTACATCTACATTACCGCCTACATCAATGTAAGACTACATCTACATTACCACCCACATCAGTGTATGACTACATCTACATTGCCACCCACATCAGTGTATGACTACATCTACATTACCGCCTTTCATCAGTGTATGACTACATCTAAATTACCGCCTACATCAGTGTATGACTACATCTACATTACCGCCTACATCAGTGTATGACTACATCTACATTACCGCCTACATCAGTGTATGACTACATCTACATTACCACCTACATCAGTGTATGACTACATCTTCATTACCACCTACATCAGTGTATGGCTACATCTACATTAGCACCTACATCAGTCTATGGCTACATCTACATTACCACCTACATTAGTGTATGGCTACATCTACATTACCACCTACATCAGTTTATGGCTACATCTACATTAGCACCCACATCAGTATAGGACTACATCTACATTACCGCCCACATCAATGTATGACTCCACATCTTGGAGTGGGATATAATTAAGAGTGGTTAGACTACTGGTTTATTCTCTTTGTCTTTCTCTTTACCCAATGGATCGCTGGACCAAGTTGTTGTGATCTGGCATCAAATATTTTTAGTTTTTCTTGCATTTGATTCTGTGAATGAGACAGAAGAGAAATATCAGCAAAGTCAAGGTCATTGGGCTGTGTTGTAGGAGTCCACTGAATTCCACTCCTGGCGTTAGCAGCTGCTGCCTTTCTAATCCAGTCTGTTGTCAGTAAAAGTAGGAGAGATGACAAATGACATCCCTTTTACAAACCTGTTCTTATTACAGATCATTGCTACTGGCCTGCTGCTTTTCTGCCTATGGTATCCCATGTCACAGTCCTTCGATTCCCGATCATCTGTCCTCAAGGTATCCTTGGCTCATCCTTATCTCCTTTTCCCCATCTGCTCTCCCCAGAGAGTTGTCCCTGCCAGTGTCATGAAACCTGCATAGTCACAGGGAAATGGGAGGTTTGAGAGAAAGGAGCATTGGAAACAATTGAAGTATGCTCCATTATAAAATGGGAGGTTTGAGGGAAAGGAGCGTTGAAAACAATTGAAGTATGCTCCTTTATAAAATGGGAGGTTTGAGGGAAAGGAGCATTGAAAACAATTGAAGTATGCTCCTTTATCAAATGGGAGGTTTGAGAGAAAGGAGCATTAGAAACAAATAATGGAGTATGCTCCTTTATCAAATGGGAGGTTTGAGAGAAAGGAGCATTAGAAACAAATATTGATGTATGATTCACTATAAAATGGAGATAACTTGAAAGATGTATAGAGAGACAAGAAGACCTGGATCAGAATAGCAGGAAAATTCCTACAGAACTGAAAGTTAACAAGGGGGAATGCGCATATGAAAGATATTATGTATTCATAAATATGTACTTGCACTCAAAGATGTTTCGGTAATGTACATATAGTGTATATGTCAACAAGTTTAGGAATCTGCTTACATAAAGGTTGTGCGGTCTGTATTTCTGTATGGAGGTGAATGCTGCATGTGTCCTGAAATGGGAGGAACTGGAAGCCTTGTAGATGTTTTGTATTTTAGAAGCAGGTTGAGAATGTCAGGCCAAAGAAGACAGTTAATGTTGATGTATTGATACCACATGCATTAGACCACTCATCAAAAAACAAGAAGGAAGAGAATTAACAATTAAAGGGCAGGAGATGTTTCAGCAAGAAGTGGAATAAAGAACATTGTCTTATTGTGATTTGTGATGACTTGCTGAGAGCAGTAGGTCCACATTGAAAAGTGTAATCAGGTACAAACGCATACATCTTGATTTAGAATAGAATGCCATCAGCCAAGTGTGGCGGAACAGTCTGAACTTCAATACTTCCAAACGACGAAGACTAGGGGATATGTACTTGGTGTATTTGTTGACAAACTGATCAATGAGAAAATGTGCAAATAATAGGACTCTTGGTGAAGACTCACCCAAACACGCCAACACAAGCAACCGCTCGCACATCCTGACGGATAAATTCAAATGACATCTTCAAACGACAGGTCAACAGTCTACCTTGGAAGTCCGGACGGTCACATCGATCTCCTCTTCTGCAGTCTGAACAGGGCAATATCCGTCTGTAATAATTCGGCATGGAGAATCCTTCATCAAAGTTTACCGGCTTCTTGCCAAGCGCAATAAACAATGTACCAGCTTTTAGCTGAGGTTTCTAGTGGAGTCCTGGGGTAGAGCGTGCTCAAGGATCTACTGAGACACGACCACACGTCTGTCTCCTTCAGACTGTATACACCAAATCTTGCCGTGGCATTCCAGGGTAAAGTGTCCTCGAGGATCCACTGAGACATGACCACACGTCTGTCTCCTTCAGACTGTATACACCGAATCTTGCCGTGGCATCCCAGGGTAAAGTGTCCTCGAGGATCCACTGAGACACGACCACACGTCTTGTCTCCTTCAGACTGTATACACCGAATCTTTCCGTGGCATCCTGGGGTAGAGCGTCCTCAAGGATCCACTGAGACACGACCACACGTCTGTCTCCTTCAGACTGTATACACCGAACCTTGCCGTGGCATCCCAGGGTAAAGCGTCCTTGAGGATCCACTGAGACACGACCACACGTCTGTCTCCTTCAGACTGTATACACCGAATCTTGCCGTGGCATCCCAGGGTAAAGTATCCACTGAGACACGACCACACGTCTGTCTCCTTCAGACTGTATACACCGAATCTTGCCGTGGCATCCCAGGGTAGAGCGTCCTCAAGGATCCACTGAGACACGACCACACGTCTGTCTCCTTCAGACTGTATACACTGAATCTTTCCGTGGCATCCCAGGGTAAAGCGTCCTCGATGATCCACTGAGACACGACCACACGTCTGTCTCCTTCAGACTGTATACACCGAATCTTGCCGTGGCATCCCAGGGTAAAGCGTCCTCAAGGATCTACTGAGACACGACCACACGTCTGTCTCCTTCAGACTTTATACACCCAATCTTGCCGTGGCATCCCAGGGTAAAGCGTCCTCAAGGATCTACTGAGACACGACCACACGTCTGTCTCCTTCAGACTGTTTACACCGAATCTTGCCGTGGCATTCCAGGGTAAAGCGTCCTCAAGGATCCACTGAGACACGACCACACATCTGTCTCCTTCAGACTGTATACACCGAATCTTGCCGTGGCATCCCAGGGTAGAGCGTCCTCAAGGATCCACTGAGACACGACCACACGTCAGTCTTCTACAGACTGTATACACCGAATCTTTCCGTGTCATCCCAGGGTAAAGTGTCCTCAAGGATCCAATGAGACAGGACTACACGTCTGTCTCCTTCAGACTGTATACACCGAATGCTTGCCGTGGCATCCTGGGGTAGAGCGTCCTCAAGGATCCACACCAAGGCCTGACCACATGTCCGCCTTGGTCAAACTTCGACTTTCAATCTCCTAGATATGTGTGAGACAATCTGAAACACTTAGACACAATAATAATGGAGGCAGCATTAACTTTATTCAAATATCAGACTTGTGAAAAATTATAGTCCCCAATTTTGTTGGTCCATTCCGAGAATCTGGGTAAGGTTTAATAATACAGTTTTGAGTTGAGTTGAGTTGATTCAAGAACCGACATCACAGCACTCGGGGCTGCAATTCTTTGTTTTGTTTATGTAATGTTAATTTTTTAAATGTAATGGTAAGTTTAATAATGTAGTGTTAAAATCTAATTGATAGGATACGTTTTGTTAATGTGATGTTAAAATTTATTTTGATGTGATATTAAGTTTTGGTTTTTTCCTCTGTATCTGCGGCCCACCCTAACACCCTGAAGTTGGTGTCCGAGGGTGACATGGAACACTACGGGCGCCAGCACCTGAACCAGCACAAAAAGGGACTCTTTGGGAAGAAGGTGTCTTTAAACAACATGCTTACCTGGTCCAAGGTTGGTGGATGCTTTTGTGTGGCTGACTCTGGGTTCACTGTGTTGGTTCATTGTATAGAATGTTGATTAATGATTGAGAATATTGGTTCTTGGTGGAGACTTGGGTCATAGTTGAGAATGTTGGTTCATGTGACAGGTTGTTGGTTCTTCACTAAGAATGTTGGCTTATGAGACAGGATGTTGGTTCTTGACAGAGAATGTTAGTTTGTTTGACAGGATGTTGCTTCTTGACAAAGAACGTTGGTTTATTTGACAGGATATTGGTTCTTGACAGAGAATGTTGATATAAGGTTAAGAATATTGAGGCATTAAAAAGAATGTTGGTTGATGGCAGAGAATCTTGTGTTGAGTTTAAGATCCCAGAAAATGGTTGTTCCTTACAGAGAATTTTGGGTAATAAACAGTGTTTGAGAATGTTGGTTAATGGTAGAAAATTTTGGTTCATTTTTGAGAAAATTGCCTCAGTCGGGGAGTCAACTGTATTCTAGTACTGTCCACTTGTGCTGCTGATGGCGACAGGTGAAGATCATTGAGTATGTTGGTGGTTGAAAGTTATGTTGAATGAAGAAAATGTGAATAAAATTATCATCCAGTGTTTTCCTTGTAAACAGGACCCCATTCAGAAACCCATGATTCGCACCACGGACAAGAGCATCAAGAAGGAGGCCTGTGATATGTTTAAAAATATCCTTTTTAAAAACAATTCTTAATTTTTTTTAGAATGTGGTGGCTGTGAGCTTTTTATAATTGTCTTGATTTTAGGGTTAGTACATGTTCTGTTCTGCTTCAAATGCAAAACTTAAAAGTTTGCTAAAAATTACAATAAACATACCATTATCAACCTGCCTATCTTCTTGTTAAGGATGTCAAGAGTTGTAAGCACCTGACAACACAGTGCAGATGAACATGGTAACGCCCCATTGACAGCTATTAAAATTCATTGACAAATAAACATTTTGCTTTAATGCTTGTCAGTCCAGCAAGTGTATGTTTGGAGTTGGAAGTTTTAAAACAGGTTGACTTTTGTGACAGATTCTGAGGGTTAGTTCTTGGTGTGTCTGACCTGGTCATTGTTACCTGTGAATAGATTGTCGTTAATCAAATGTTTTCACTTGTGTAAAGATCATTGTTCATCAAATGTTTTCACCTGTGTAAAGATCATTGTTCATCAAATGTTTTCACCTGTGTAAAGATCGTTGTTCATCAAATGTTTTCACCTATGTAAAGATCATTGTTCATCAAATGTTTTCACCTGTGTAAAGATCATTGTTAATCAAATGTTTTCACTTGTGTAAAGATCATTGTTCATCAAATGTTTTCACCTGTGTAAAGATCATTGTTCATCAAATGTTTTCACTTGTGTAAAGATCATTGTTCATCAAATGTTTTCACCTGTGTAAAGACCATTGTTCATCAAATGTTTTCACCTGTGTAAAGATCATTGTTCATCAAATGTTTTCACCTATGTAAAGATCATTGTTCATCAAATGTTTTCACCTGTGTAAAGATCATTGTTCATCAAATGTTTTCACTTGTGTAAAGATCATTGTTCATCAAATGTTTTCACCTGTGTAAAGATCATTGTTCATCAAATGTTTTCACTTGTGTAAAGATCATTGTTCATCAAATGTTTTCACCTATGTAAAGATCAATGTTCATCAAATGTTTTCACCTGTGTAAAGATCATTGTTCATCAAATGTTTTCACCTATGTAAAGATCATTGTTCATCAAATGTTTTCACCTGTGTAAAGATAATTGTTCATCAAATGTTTTCACCTATGTAAAGATCATTGTTCATCAAATGTTTTCACCTATGTAAAGATCAATGTTCATCAAATGTTTTCACCTGTGTAAAGATCATTGTTCATCAAATGTTTTCACCTATGTAAAGATCATTGTTCATTAAATGTTTTCACCTGTGTAAAGATCAATGTTCATCAAATGTTTTCACCTGTGTAAAGATCATTGTTCATCAAATGTTTTCACCTGTGTAAAGATCATTGTTCATCAAATGTTTTCACCTATGTAAAGATCATTGTTCATCAAATGTTTTCACCTATGTAAAGATCAATGTTCATCAAATGTTTTCACCTATGTAAAGATCATTGTTCATCAAATGTTTTCACCTATGTAAAGATCATTGTTCATCAAATGTTTTCACCTATGTAAAGATCATTGTTCATCAAATGTTTTCACTTGTGTAAAGATCATTGTTCATCAAATGTTTTCACCTGTGTAAAGATCATTGTTCATCAAATGTTTTCACCTGTGTAAAGATCATTGTTCATCAAATGTTTTCACCTGTGTAAAGATCATTGTCCATCAAATGTTTTCACCTGTGTAAAGATCATTGTTCATCAAATGTTTTCACCTATGTAAAGATCAATGTTCATCAAATGTTTTCACCTGTGTAAAGATCATTGTTCATCAAATGTTTTCACCTATGTAAAGATCATTGTTCATCAAATGTTTTCACCTGTGTAAAGATCATTGTTCATCAAATGTTTTCACCTATGTAAAGATCAATGTTCATCAAATGTTTTCACCTGTGTAAAGATCATTGTTCATCAAATGTTTTCACCTATGCAAAGATTGTTATTGAGTTTATGTCCAGTGATCTCCTTAACCCTGGCCACTGATCCAGCTGTATATGGGAGACCGCAAGGGCAAGCAAGCCCCAATGTCTGTAGCCCTGGATATCATCACAAAGGGCTGGTCGACGCCGAACATGCGGGACGAGATCTACATTCAGCTGATGCGGCAAACAACGGAGAACAAACGAGAGTAGGTTTCACTTTGTTTTCACCAGAACAGTTTTTAAAAAACACACAAAGCACTTCAGCTTAAATTCTGTTTGTTCTGCAACTTGCTCAGAATCTGCTTTGTGAGATCAGACTTTCAGCACTCTATCTGCAAGAGATTCTGTTTATTGTCCTCTGTCTTGCCCAGAATTGGCCACATAGAGACTAGAGGAACAACCCTTTAGGGTAAACTTTCGGGGATCCTTGAAGTCCTCAGGAACATCACCCAGTTCATTACTCCTCCTTTCTGGGGTAGAATATGAATGCTGATCACTTGAAAAGAACAAGGCAGATGTTGTTTCTCGTAAGATAGCTTGTAAAGATCATTGGCCCCACTCGTCGGGGTGTCAAAACCAAACTGAGAAACCATTCCTGATGCATGCTTTTCCCGTTAGTGTCATGCTAGTAGTCCTGATTCATGAACACTAAATGTATCTAATGTGCTGAAGGAGATTCTCCCAAGTATATGGTCATCAAAGTTCCAGAGCTGTGAGCTGCATCAGCAAACAAGGTTCAAACATCGCGACATTTGGCCTCGCTTATCAGAGTGTCAGAACCAAACGGGGAAGTTATGCCTGATGCATGCTTCTCTAATACTGTCATTCTAGGTGTCCCAGTGTGGCAAAGTTAAAATGTCTAACATGCTGAAGCAGATTGTGCTGATTTGTATAGTCATCAAAGTCTCGGACCTACAGGCTCCTCCCTATTGATCTCTGATTGGTGCAGCTCATGATGAGTGGCAAGGTCAACATGCGGTTGTGAGGTTGAGCAGTCATGTGCAGGACCTGGGGATTCCTTGGTTGAGCCCAGGACCAGGGTGTCATGTGTCGGCTGCATTCGTGGACAACTTCCCTTGAGGGCTGACCAGTCTAGGTACGGTTGCCATGGTTTGGTTCTCCAGGACCAACACCTGTAGATAAAGAGACAGATAGGATACCACACAAAGAAGGTTATGTCATGACCCAGGACACCAGTCAGAAAGGCTAACCTGATAAACAAATGCCAGATGAAGTTGGATGTCTTAGCAGAAAGACTAACCTGATAAACAAATGCCAGATGAAGTTGGATGTCTTAGCAGAAAGACTAACCTGATAAACAAATGCCAGATGAAGTTGGATGTCTTAGCAGAAAGGCTAACCTGATAAACAAATGCCAGATGAAGTTGGATGTCTTAGCAGAAAGGCTAACCTGATAAACAAATGCCAGATGAAGTTGGATGTCTTAGCAGAAAGGCTAACCTGATAAACAAATGCCAGATGAAGTTGGATGTCTTAGCAGAAAGACTAACCTGATAAACCAATGCCAGATGAAGTTGGATGTCTTAGCAGAAAGGCTAACCTGATAAACAAATGCCAGATGAAGTTGGATGTCTTAGCAGAAAGACTAACCTGATAAACAAATGCCAGATGAAGTTGGATGTCTTAGCAGAAAGGCTAACCTGATAAACAAATGCCAGATGAAGTTGGATGTCTTAGCAGAAAGGCTAACCTGATAAACAAATGCCAGATGAAGTTGGATGTCTTAGCAGAAAGGCTAACCTGATAAACAAATGCCAGATGAAGTTGGATGTCTTAGCAGAAAGACTAACCTGATAAACAAATGCCAGATGAAGTTGGATGTCATAGCAGAAAGGCTAACCTGATAAACAAATGCCAGATGAAGTTGGATGTCTTAGCAGAAAGGCTAACCTGATAAACAAATGCCAGATGAAGTTGGATGTCTTAGCAGAAAGACTAACCTGATAAACAAATGCCAGATGAAGTTGGATGTCTTAGCAGAAAGGCTAACCTGATAAACAAATGCCAGATGAAGTTGGATGTCTTAGCAGAAAGACTAACCTGATAAACAAATGCCAGATCAAGTGGGATGTCTCAGCAGAAAGGCACACACACATCTCGCAGCTATGCTGCATAGAGGCTCAACATAATGCCACCACTCAGATGAATGGCGATGAAGACAAACCCCAACAGTTTCAGCTCTAGACATCAGATAAAGTTATTTTACAGTAAAACTTCAATTTAAAGTCACTCATTTAACTGTTTCTGTTATCCGTCATCGTCTTTAACAAAATTTAAAAAAAAAAAAAAAAGAGAGAGAGAGAGATACAAACAGAGAACAAACAGGACACTGTTTTCAATGTGGCCACTGCCTGGGCTGACCTTTTAGTGTCTAACCTCAAGAATGGGACCCTCTATATGAACCTGAAGGAACTGAGATTGTTAGTGTTGATGAAATTGTGCAACTGTGCAGGTAGGACAAAGACACACAAGGAGATGACAGATTAAAGTAACTTCAGTTTAAAGTATTACAATACATTTCAGTACATTACCACTCTTATATTGAAGCTTATATTAATTGGTTTATAAAGTTAAATTCTGTGTCCGTATTGTTCACATTTGAAGGATTGTATTTTCATATGTGTCCCAAGCCCGCAGTGAAGTCACGCCACTGTACATATGTACTAGAACATTTCTGTTATCCATCTACTCTGTTATCTGTACATATGTATTAGAACATTTCTGTTATCCATCTACTCAGTTATCTGTACATATGTATTAGAGCATTTCTGTTATCCATCTACTCTGTTATCTGTACATATGTGTTAGAACATTTCTGTTATCCATCTACTCTGTTATCTGTACATATGTATTAGAACATTTCTGTTATCCATCTACTCAGTTATCTGTACATATGTATTAGAGCATTTCTGTTATCCATCTACTCTGTTATTTGTACATATGTATTAGAACATTTCTGTTATCCACGTACTCTGTTATTTGTACATAAGTATTAGAACATTTCTGTTATCCATGTACTCTGTTATCTGTACATATGTGTTAGAACATTTCTGTTATCCATCTACTCTGTTCTCTGTACATATGTATTAGAACATTTCTGTTATTCATCTACTCTGTTATCTGTACATAAGTATTAAAACATTTCTGTTATCCATCTACTCTGTTATGTGTACATATGTATTAGAACATTTCTGTTATTCATCTACTCTGTTATCTGTACATAAGTATTAGAACATTTCTGTTATCCATCTACTCTGTTATCTGTGCATATGTATTAGAACATTTCTGTTATTCATCTACTCTGTTATCTGTACATATGTATTAGAACATTTCTGTTATCCATCTACTCAGTTATCTGTACATATGTATTAGAGCATTTCTGTTATCCATCTACTCTGTTATTTGTACATATGTGTTAGAACATTTCTGTTATCCACGTACTCTGTTATTTGTACATATGTATTAGAACATTTCTGTTATTCATCTACTCTGTTATCTGTACATATGTATTAGAACATTTCTGTTATTCATCTACTCAGTTATCTGTACATATGTATTAGAGCATTTCTGTTATCCATCTACTCTGTTATTTGTACATATGTATTAGAACATTTCTGTTATCCACGTACTCTGTTATTTGTACATATGTATTAGAACATTTCTGTTATCCATGTACTCTGTTATCTGTACATATGTGTTAGAACATTTCTGTTATCCATCTACTCTGTTATCTGTACATAAGTATTAGAACATTTCTGTTATTCATCTACTCTGTTATCTGTACATAAGTATTAGAACATTTCTGTTATCCATCTACTCTGTTATCTGTACATATGTATTAGAACATTTCTGTTATTCATCTACTCTGTTATCTGTACATAAGTATTAGAACATTTCTGTTATCCATCTACTCTGTTATCTGTACATATGTATTAGAACATTTCTGTTATTCATCTACTCTGTTATCTGTACATAAGTATTAGAACATTTCTGTTATTCATCTACTCTGTTATCTGTACAAATGTATTAGAACATTTCTGTTATCCATCTACTCTGTTATCTGTTACATATGTATTAGAACATTTCTGTTATTCATCTACTCAGTTATCTGTACATATGTATTAGAACATTTCTGTTATCCATCTACTCTGTTATTTGTACATATGTATTAGAACATTTCTGTTATTCATCTACTCTGTTATCTGTACATATGTATTAGAGCATTTCTGTTATTCATCTACTCAGTTATCTGTACATTTCCTTTAGAACATTTCTGTTATCCATCTACTCTGTTATCTGTACATATGTATTAGAACATTTCTGTTATCCACGTACTCTGTTATTTGTACATATGTATTAGAACATTTCTGTTATTCATCTACTCTGTTATCTGTACATAAGTATTAGAACATTTCTGTTATTCATCTACTCTGTTATCTGTACATATGTATTAAAACATTTCTGTTATCCATCTACTCTGTTATGTGTACATATGTATTAGAACATTTCTGTTATTCATCTACTCTGTTATCTGTACATAAGTATTAGAACATTTCTGTTATCCACGTACTCTGTTATTTGTACATAAGTATTAGAACATTTCTGTTATCCATGTACTCTGTTATCTGTACATATGTGTTAGAACATTTCTGTTATCCATCTACTCTGTTCTCTGTACATATGTATTAGAACATTTCTGTTATTCATCTACTCTGTTATCTGTACATAAGTATTAGAACATTTCTGTTATTCATCTACTCTGTTATCTGTACATATGTATTAAAACATTTCTGTTATCCATCTTCTCTGTTATGTGTACATATGTATTAGAACATTTCTGTTATTCATCTACTCTGTTATCTGTACATAAGTATTATAACATTTCTGTTATCCATCTACTCTGTTATCTGTGCATATGTATTAGAACATTTCTGTTATTCATCTACTCTGTTATCTGTACATATGTATTAGAACATTTCTGTTATCCATCTACTCAGTTATCTGTACATATGTATTAGAGCATTTCTGTTATCCATCTACTCTGTTATTTGTACATATGTATTAGAACATTTCTGTTATCCACGTACTCTGTTATTTGTACATATGTATTAGAACATTTCTGTTATTCATCTACTCTGTTATCTGTACATATGTATTAGAACATTTCTGTTATTCATCTACTCAGTTATCTGTACATATGTATTAGAGCATTTCTGTTATCCATCTACTCTGTTATTTGTACATATGTATTAGAACATTTCTGTTATCCACGTACTCTGTTATTTGTACATATGTATTAGAACATTTCTGTTATCCATGTACTCTGTTATCTGTACATATGTGTTAGAACATTTCTGTTATCCATCTACTCTGTTATCTGTACATAAGTATTAGAACATTTCTGTTATTCATCTACTCTGTTATCTGTACATAAGTATTAGAACATTTCTGTTATCCATCTACTCTGTTATCTGTACATATGTATTAGAACATTTCTGTTATTCATCTACTCTGTTATCTGTACATAAGTATTAGAACATTTCTGTTATCCATCTACTCTGTTATCTGTACATATGTATTAGAACATTTCTGTTATTCATCTACTCTGTTATCTGTACATAAGTATTAGAACATTTCTGTTATTCATCTACTCTGTTATCTGTACAAATGTATTAGAACATTTCTGTTATCCATCTACTCTGTTATCTGTACATATGTATTAGAACATTTCTGTTATTCATCTACTCAGTTATCTGTACATATGTATTAGAACATTTCTGTTATCCATCTACTCTGTTATTTGTACATATGTATTAGAACATTTCTGTTATTCATCTACTCTGTTATCTGTACATATGTATTAGAGCATTTCTGTTATTCATCTACTCAGTTATCTGTACATATCCTTTAGAACATTTCTGTTATCCATCTACTCTGTTATCTGTACATATGTATTAGAACATTTCTGTTATCCACGTACTCTGTTATCTGTACATATGTATTAGAACATTTCTGTTATTCATCTACTCTGTTATCTGTACATATGTATTAGAACATTTCTGTTATTCATCTACTCAGTTATCTGTACATATGTATTAGAACATTTCTGTTATTCATCTACTCTGTTATCTGTACATATGTATTAGAACATGTCTGTTATTCATCTACTCTTATCTGTACATAAGTATTAGAACATTTCTGTTATACATCTACTCTGTTATTTGTACATATGTATTAGAGCATTTCTGTTATACATCTACTCTGTTATCTGTACATATGTATTAGAGCATGTATGTTATCCATCTACTCTGTTATTTGTACTCAAGTATTAGAACATTTCTGTTATCCATCTACTCTGTTATTTATACATAAGTATTAGAACATGTCTGTTATCCACGTACTCTGTTATCTGTACATATGTATTAGAACATTTCTGTTATCCATCTACTCAGTTATCTGTACATATGTATTAGAACATTTCTGTTATCCATCTACTCTGTTATCTGTACATAAGTATTAGAACATGTCTGTTATTCATCTACTCTGTTATCTGT